TCACGTCAGCGGAAGGAACGAATCTGTGGAACATTCAGACCATCAAGTCAATGTGCAACCAGGACAACACCCGAGTGAGTAATCAGTGCTCTCAGGCTGTCAGCACGGACGGTTGGAACCGGTTAAACCCGAGGATGTGTTGTGTGTTGGCAGGTTCGCTCCCACCGTAACTACTGGAGTCTGTGTCAGCGCACCAACGACGACTCCTGCTGTCCGAGCTGGACGCTGGGGAACTACGTTGCTGTCCTCACCAACAGGTCATCCTGTCAAAAGATCACAGAGCGGGACGTGTCCAACACTCTCAAGATCCTTCGCTCCTGTGTCAAGTACTACCACAACGGCACGCTCGGACCCGAGTGCTGGGACATGGCGCTCCGACGGAAGGATCAGGTGAAGTGTGCCGGCGTGCCCCGGAAGTGCACCAAGTTCAATGCTGTCTACCAGATCCTTCACTTCCTGGTGGACAAAGATTTCCTCAGTCCCAGGAGCCTGGAGCACCCCCCGCCCGTGCTCACGTACAGCATGCTCTTCACTCCCACGGAGAAGGGGAAGTCCATGATGAACATCTATCTGGATAACTTTGAGAACTGGAACTCCTCTGATGGCGTCACCACGGTCACGGGGATCGAGTTTGGCATCAAACACGACCTGTTCCAGGACTTCCTCCTGACCGACACGGTGTACCCAGCCATCGCCATCGTGATCGTCCTGCTGGTCATGTGTGTGTACACGCGCTCCGTGTTCATCACTCTCATGACTATAATCGCCATCATCAGTTCACTGATCGTTTCTTACTTTCTCTATCGAATGGTCTTCAACTTTGAGTTCTTCCCCTTCATGAACCTGACGGCGCTCATCATCCTTGTTGGCGTCGGCGCGGACGACGCCTTCGTGCTCTGTGACGTCTGGAACTACACCAAGTTCGACAAGCCACAGGCCGAGTTGTCCGAGACGGTCGGCGTGACCCTTCAGCACGCCGCGCTCTCCATGTTTGTCACCAGCTTCACCACCGCAGCAGCTTTTTATGCCAACTACGTCAGCAACATCACCGCCATTCGCTGCTTCGGCGTTTATGCCGGCACCGCCATTCTGGTCAACTACGTTCTGATGGTGACGTGGCTTCCTGCTGTGGTGGTGCTCCATGAGCGCTACCTGCCCAGTGTCTTGCCCTGCTCCAGACCTGAACACCAGCATAGAAGCGTCTACTCGCAGATGTTCTGGGCCGGTCTCTGTCAGAAGGCCAGCAAGTGTCTGTTCACGATGTCGGAGGCGTCCAGGATCTTCTTCCAGAAGGTTCTGCCTTGTATCGTCATCAGGCTGCGCTACTTCTGGCTCTTCTGGTTCCTTGCCATCACAGTCGGCGGGGCCTATGTGGTTTGTAGGAACCCCAAAATGAAGCTCCCATCCCTGGAGCTGGCAGAGTTCCAGGTCTTCAGGTCTTCTCACCCATTTGAGCGCTACGACGCCGAGTTCAAGAAGCTGTTCATGTTTGAGAGAGTTAACCATGGCGAGGACCTCCACATGCCCATCACCATCATCTGGGGGGTTTCTCCCGTGGACAACGGAGACCCCCTGAACCCCAAAAACAAGGGGAAGCTGATGCTGGACACCAGCTTTAACATAGCCAGTCCTGCATCTCAGCTGTGGATCCTCAACTTCTGCCAGAAGCTGAGGAACCAGAGCTTCGTCTTTCAGTCTGAGGAGCAAGACTTCACCAGCTGCTTCATTGAGACGTTCAAGCAGGTCAGTAGTGCGCTCTTAGCATCTGCAGAACAAAAGTTCTTCTGTCTCTCAACAGAATCAGTTTCAGCTTCGATGGTTTTTAACAGTGGATGGAGAATCAGGACTGCGATGAGGCCTCGGTCTACCCCTGCTGCAGCCAGTCCACCTTCCCTTACAAGCAGGAAGTGTTTGAGCTGTGCATCAAGAGAGCAATCATGGAGTTGGATCGCAGTACCAGCTACCACCTGGACAGCAAGACTCCCGGACCTCGGTTCGACGTCAACGACACCATCACAGCCATTGTTTTAGAGTTCCAGAGCACCCACCTCTTCACACTGGCCTATGACAAGATGTCCCACTTCTACAGAGAGGTAGGCCGGCTGGTATCTTAGCTCCTCGCGTGTGTTCGTGTGCAGCACCGCTCACCGCTCTCTTTGTGTGTTGTGTTTAGGTGGATGCCTGGATCGCCGAGGAGCTGTGCTCCGCCCCTGAAGGTCTGAGCAACGGCTGGTTCGTCAGCAACCTGGAGTTCTACGACCTCCAGGACAGCCTGTCTGGTGGTACTCTGGTTGCCATGGCGTTGTCAGTGGCTGTAGCCTTCAGCGTCATGCTGCTAACCACCTGGAACATCATCATCAGTCTGTACGCCATCTTCTCGATTGCCGGGACCATCTTTGTCACCGTGGGCTCCCTGGTTCTTCTGGGATGGGAGCTGAACGTCCTGGAGTCCGTTACCATTTCTGTTGCGGTGGGACTGTCGGTGGACTTCGCCGTCCAC